GGGGGGGTTAAGAAGAAAGATCCAAACAAAAGGGGAAAGAACACATGAGGACGGAGATGGGAGGTTTCCTCCCATCCTCCTTTTCATCGTCAAGTTCAACCCATTTTCTTCTGATTTTGTGTGTCTCACTTTTTAATTTAGTTAGAACTTAGAAGATGTGACGGAGTGGGTGACGAGTGCGACTGCCAACCGGGTGCCAGGTGGCTGAATGATACACAGGTACAAATGCTCAAAATATTTATTTTTTCTTCATTTTCTTTCTTGGTTGGTAGGGTCATTGTGTTACAAGAGCCTAAACAAAAGTTCCATTCTTCCAGCCTCCCCCCCCCCCCCCCCCCCCCCCCCCCCCCCCCCCTCCCCCCCCCCCCCCCCCCCCCCCCCCCCCCCCCCCCCCCCCCCAAAAACTAGGCTGATTTCCCGGGCTTCCGGGGCCCCACACCACGCCCTGAATGGCGCCTGGGTGCTCGGCCGGGCATGAGGCCCGGGCGAGCCCCCGGGCGCTCTCCGCGGCAGCAGAAAAAAAAGTCAAAAATGCTGGACGCTGGGCCGGGGGCACAGCGGGGGGTCCAGGGGGGGCTCCAGACAGCGGGAAAAAAACGCGTGGAGGCCCTATCAGCCCCGGGAAGATAAAAAATAAGGGGAGATTTCAGGCCCTCGAGCGCAACAAATTGCCCTTCTTTCTTCCCGTTTGCCAAGGATTGCCGCGCGATTTCGTGCGCGCATTGCACTTCGAATGCCACCGTGAAATCGCGTGGTGATTCTTGGCTTCCGACCACCTTCGGGAAACCGCCCTCCTCTTGTCCAGTGCTGCGTCGCCGTTCGCCCGCTCCACGGAGAGAGAGAGAGAGAGAGAGAGAGAGAGAGAGAGAGAGAGAGAGAGAGAGAGAGAGAGAGAGAGAGAGAGAGTTGCAAACTCCTCCTCCTCCTCCTCCTCCTCCTCCTCCTTCTTCTTCTTCTTCCTGGTACTCACCAACCTTCATATTCGCAACTAGTGCAACGAGCGAGGGGAAAGTTTCCCGGGGAAACAAAGAAGAGGAAGGCCATCGAAGCAGCCATCAAAGGCAACACA